GCTCTCCTCCTTCCCCTCTAGCCGATGGCGGTGAGCCGGTCCTGGGTCCATAGATGGGCAAGGGGAGCCCGGGAGACAGTGGACGGGGGAGGCTGGCACTGTGTGGAAGCAATCGGCGGCAGCGCTGCCGCCCAAATGCTTCCATCTGACAGGTAAGCCCTGCTGCTTGCGCGCAGCAGGGCTGAAGGTTGAAAAAAAAACTACCTGCCTGGCGCCCAGAACTACATGTCCTGGGCGTCGGGTGATACAAATTCAACATCCCTGGCACTACATTTATGTGCCATTGAAAATGTATTGTACCTGAACACGCATGGTGCGTTTTGTCATCGCAGTGCGATTTGGAATCGTGGGCAGAATTTCAGCGATCGCATTACACAGCTAAAAAAGCTGTGTTTTTTTAACATTCGTGTCACTGAACCCCTATTTGAGAAAAACCCTGCTCTATAGCCTGCAGATAGCTTTAATTAACCGTTTCCTTTTCTTATATTCACATTTTTTTCTTTCCACATCTCTGTCCTTCAAATCCACTCGCTCATCTCCTTCTACTCAGTTGTCTCATTTCAAATATACACTTCCACCTCAACTCCTCCTTTCCTGCCTTTTTCCTTGCTTATTCTTTTTATCTTTTAAAAGTCTACCATTCTTTCTAACCTACTCTTGCTGTCCTGGGGCAACTTCTTTACCAGACAGGAAGTGAAGAAATTTCTCCAACAGCAGTAAAACCTGATCGGAGTCAGGTAGTAAGGCTCATGTCTTTTTTTTTTTTAAATAATTGTTGTAGTAAAATCCAACTGCTTAAGATATAAGTAGAAGTTTCTATATTAAAGCTTGGTAATACATAATATTTATAGCTTGATTTTGCAGTTAACACATTTCTGTGGTCCTTGACAAAATTAATTAAATAAGTAATTTAAGAATTTATACTTGACATAAATTAATGAGCGGTGATGATGGAATTAAAAGTAAGTGTTGTGTTCAGTGACCTAATTTAAAGGTGTTCATTTTAATAACATTTCAACAGCCAGCCATCCGTTTTGGTCCATCACTTTCTTCAAACTGTACTTTAACACCAATCAGGGATTCACAAATAGATCTTTTGTATTGGAGCATGTGCTTCTCTAAAAGATGAGAAATTTGAGAATTCTCTTAATGTTTTAATTTTTGCCACATACTTGTCATACACTTGTGGGTATCGCCCTTGAATATGAAGGATCTACTCACCCTGCTGACAATTCACCACTTTTTTGCACCCATTTTGCATGAACCACAGCACAAAGGAACATACCAATACCTACAGTGAAAAGGCCAGCAGTATTGCAAGCAGACTAACTCAACAGAGGTATGGCCAATTCATACTCATTTGGCCTAAATTTGATCCATGAGTGGCGCTGTCTGCAACACCTGAACACATAAACACAACAAAAGTAATTTTTTGCAATCATTGGAGTCATTTGGTTAGTTTAGAAATAATCTTCTACTATATCTAGTAATCACTGGAGTTTTTAGTAGCTAATAACAATTACTCATGTAGCCTTGCCAAAGTCTTATGCACTGCAGTGTGCAAAAACGTGTATGGTTGGCATCTTGCCCATAGTGTATAAAGGCATGTGAATGGCATAGCCATCTGCATTGAGCTGCACTTGGCTATTTTGCTGTGCAAAGCATCTCAGTAGGGTATGTACCTTTTAAGCCAAGTTACACAGCTGGTTTGCTACTTGTAGGGTACAACAAACGCTATAGGCACAGATACAGACTGACTACATTCTTGGACAGGTAAGTGTTGGGTAAGCTTTTACAAAGCATGTCTAAATGGCTTGTAATGACTTCCACTTCAGAAGGATGTATGTCAACACATTGGCTATGCAAAAGTGTGAAGAAAGTCTTATGCATCTATATTTATTTTCTATCCATCACAGTAGAAAGCTATTTAATGAAAAATTGATTACAGGCCCATTAAGTAGTGGATGGGTACTGATTGGTTTTGGAAAATAAGGATATAGTTTAGTGTCACATTTAAGTTTATGCAAAATGCATAAGCAAGCACTCTGACATTTTCTTTTTTTTTAGCAGTGAATACGCTTTGTTCTTGAAGCAGTGGTGGCTACCTATCTATTGAGGTAGGTACACCTCCAGAACTACATCTCCCAAAAGTCCCCACACAGTGGGTGAACAGACTCTTGGAAGTCAAGACAGCAGTATGATTTTACTGTCAAGGAAGCGGTAATGTTCCAGAGGGTTGTGGGGGATAGGTTGCGTTCTGTAGGATTTGTGTAAAAAGAGGCACTCTAGGGGATTCAGTAATGAATTCATCAGTTTTCTGATGGTGGGTAATTTTACAACTATCTGCGCCTAATTCAGGCAAAGTTTTGGTAAAATGTGCAACAAATTCAGGTAGTTCATACCACTGCCACTTGAAGAACCTGTTTCTATGTCTGCGACTGATTCAAAAAGGCATACCCCCAGTTCATAGACTAGAAAACTGGCAGAAATTAAGACCAACTCTGAGCTGGAGATCAGAGAGATGTCAATACTCAGTGTGGGGTATTTTGTACTCAGAAATTATCATGCATATGACAACTTCTGCATAGGGCTTATGGATGCTAGAGCACTGATGGTCCCTAACTTTCCAGCAACCAATGACTTATTCAGCTGCTTGTTGGGAAATTCACCTAGTCTCAGCATTCCCCATCAGGCTCCATGCCGATCCACTGCCATGTGCTATCAGTTGCAGACAAGGCGGACCTGAAGGAGAACTAGTCTCCCCGTTATTCATCAGACTTTGGCCACCCCACTGCAAAACTTCAGCCATGTGCCTGTATGCATGACGAGCGCAGTTGCAGAGGAAGAAGCTCAGTAATGCACTGAGGGCAGCGTGTCTGGTATGGACACTGGTTTAGAGCCTGCACAACCAAAGATGATGTGCCTGTTCCTAATAGGAACATGAGTATGTTGCAAACATTGACAATATTGGTGCAGAAGTACAAGATAATTCTAGAGTCTCAAAGACACGGTTTATGAATTTCCGCTACTGTGTTGTCAGCTTCAACAGGAAGTTAGGAGCACGTGTATTTTTCTGTACCTAAAGCATTTGTAAAGAGATAAATCTTTTCCCCTAAAGTGGAACTTTAGTCAGAAAATGAAGTCCTGCTAGATCACTTCAGGCTGGCCCCTTTTTCAGGTATAGCTATGTATAAAATTAAAAATAATTGCCTATACTGTTTAAAATGCAGTAACACACTGTCTCATCCTGCCCTGAACATGCTCAGTTGCTCTCTATTTTTATGCACTGCCGAATTTGTAGAGGCCAATCAGCCTTTAAGCAGAATTAAACCCTCCTATGCTTTACAGCTGCATCCGCCATAGTGCTGCACATGTGATTGGTTATGACTCAGCCATTTGATGGTTTGACAGTTTGGTTGAAGACACAAACAAATGTGACAGTTTGCAATCCCGGCATTCCAGGAATACAGCTGTTTATTAAAACAGTTAAATTGATGGGTTTTGTTCCGCTTTATGATTTACTGCTGTTCAGGAGCTCTGGGCTTTCAGCAAAATGGCAATCTCTGGCAAGAAGAAACATGAACAATTCTGGAGGCAATTGACAACACACACTAATTTGGGTAGCATAATTATTAATTTGGAATGTATGTTCCTTGCTAAAGAACATTGTTTTTTATAAAGTTATGTGTAAAGTTCCTTTTAAAATACACTTTAGGGCACATTTAGACTGTTGTGTTTATACAGTCATAGTACATTTAAAAATCCTGCTTGAACACCTTAAAAGTTAAAACACACCTTCCACACAACAGAATAAATCATGCAAAACTGTATAGGGCAGCACAGTGGCCAAATGGTTAGCACTTCCGCTTGGCAGTACTAGGGTCACTGGTTCAAATCCCTACCATGGCACTTCATGCCTGGAGTTTGCATGTTCTCCCTGTGCCTGCATGGGTCTCCTCTGGGTATTCCAGTTCCCTCCCACACTCCAAAGACATGCTGGTAGGTTAATTGGAGCCTGTCTAAATTGGCCCTATTATGTATATGTATGAATGTAAGTTAGGGACCTTAGATTGTGTACCCCTTGAGGGTTATGGACTGATGTGAATGTACAATATATATGTAAAGTGCTGCGCAAATTGACTGTGCTACATAAGTACCTGAAATAACTTAAATACAACTGCATTGTACCACATAGAAGACAAAGAGGCAATGCTGCATTTATCCCCCTAGATAGGAAGCTTGAATTACATGTGGTACCATTCATTTCCACAGCTGCAGTTGCCTAGAAGTGAATGAAGCGTCACTTTTTAACTTTTCAATAAAGTTTAGAAAAAAGTGTACATTGCCATGCCTTATAATAGCAAAGGCTCCACCCAATGAAGATTGTCCAGCATAGACATCGGACCGCTCAGGAAAGCGAAATGTTTTCCTCTGCATGTAGTGTGAACCAGCCCTTTAATCTTCCCAGGTTTAACACAATAACCAGATGTCTAGTTTAATAAACTTCAATGGTCTGATTTCCTCATGGGGACATTTGAGACTGACTACTAAATGAAGTTAAGGGTAAGCGAAGAGTAAGTCACCTTAACTTGATACATTTCTTAAGTCAGTGCTTTTTAAATATCTTAAGCATTCAGAGTTTCCTGTAACCCTTAGCCCTTAGTATTTCTCTTGTCCCTTAGGAATAGAAAAGTTGTTTGGCATCGAACTCTCTACTGCATATGATGATATTCCCCCCCCCCCTCCCCGGGGCTACAATACTCATTGGGAGTTGTGTCATATATCAGACATTTTTACTCAACATTTTTCTCATATATATTACAAATGTTATCTACGTGATTTTGCGCAGCCGTACCACCCTGTAGCAGTACTTCAGCTGTAGGGTGGATGGGAAGCAGTTAATAAAGGATTTGCAGCAATCAACATTGTACAGTTAAAATGGAACTCGATCAGACTGCTAAATATATAGTTAAAAACATATGTGTTAAAGTGTTACTAAACCCTGGACCCCGCAATCACTATATCTGGTCTCCCACGGTACACAAAACATTGAAGTGCAATTATTTTAGTAAATATAAACTGCTAAATACCTTTTCTCATCAACAGTTAGAGCAGTCTTGTGACTTCTATCAGTGTCATGTTAAAGCTTGTAGGAGGAGTTTTCATTCTGCTCTAGGAGGATGCAGAACCTCTGACCTCTGTCTGGACAGTGCTGATTGGCCCTGTGCCGATCACATGCACTCTTCCTAGAAAAAAAAAAAGCTCTCTAGCAATACCAAACTGAACACATGCAAAGTGACTCCACACAGTAATGTCTTATCAGGAGATAAGAGGGGGAGACTGGAAGAAGTGGGGGATCAGAGAAGTCGGGCTCAAACATCCTTTTTACACAACGCAGAGGATTAACCCCTTAGGTTCCACAGGGAGTATAACAAGCATGCTTTGCTGCATATACAGACTGACTACTGTTGTGGGTTTACCAACACTTTAACTTTTTATCTTACCAAATTGTATGTAATTCTGTTCAAGACCTAACCTCATTGCTAATTGCATGGTCAGGCAATTGACCCCCTGATTTTGGTTTTGCAGCTTGTTGGTTCAGTCGGCCAAGTGCTCATTAGAAAATGTCTCACGATCATCACCACCACTACCATAGTGTTGCAGTATGTTTGTTTTTTTTTTTTTCAATAAACAGCTGTGGTTTCTTTGGGTCTATATATTGTCCAAACTTTTTTTGTTTTGGATAGCAATGGTTATAACCTACATCTGTTATTTGCTGCTGTCTGTGTCCTGTTAGGGAGATTTTTGCTCACTTGCTGTCCTGGAGACTCAAAAGGAAATGAGATGAAACCTATACAAAGCTAGAGGGTTTACCCTCTTAGACAGTTGTCACCAGAACAGGTATTCTCATTGGAAAATTTCCCTCACTTTTTGTGCTGGTGACAACTAGAAAAAAATTGCAGGGAAACAGAAAGCAGTAAACCAGTCACAACATACAAAGAGTTATGTGAATGAACAGGAGGGAAGATGCATCAAATCAAGGCCTTGTTTACACTTACTCAAATACTGATGTTTAACAAATGCGCCTATAGCGTTTATGCAAGTTATTATTTTAGTTTGCCACACATTTATAAAGCTTTAAAGGTGCGTTAAAAATGCCCCCCAAATGCCCAATTCACGTTTTGACTCGCATTATAGATGTGTTGGCTATTGTGAACAATGCCTAATGTGTTGGAAACGCATCACAAATGTGCTGCAAACATGTCTGGCCCGTTTTTGGTGCATTACAATGGGCTTGAAGGGAAGGAGTTAAGATGCTTCAACTCCTTCCAAACTCCACATAAAGCTTAATTTTTTTAAGCGCAGCAATGCGACGCAAACGCTTCATGTTTTGATAATGTGAACAGCACTGTGTGCTGTCCATATTATCAGTTGAAGACTGCTTTACTAGAATCCTGAAATTTTGGCATTGATATTGATTTTTATTCAAAAATGGTGATCATATGAAGCCATTTATTATCACATAGTTGTTTGGCTCCTTTTTAAATCATAATGATAACAGGAATCACCCAAATGGTGATTTGTTAACTCTCTGTAGAGCTGTAATTCCTAAACCCTTCCTCCAATTTGGATGTACATACCCTCAAATTAAACCTGAAAGCGTGCACTTTCAGCCCATATTCATTATATAACATTATATAACTATGGCTTGAATATGTTTTGCTAAATACCTGAAAAAAACTAAAATTGCGCCTGTGTCCAAATATATATGGACCTGTGTGTGTATATATATATATATATATATATATATATATATATATATATATATATACATACACACACACACAGTTGTGTTCAAAATAATAGCAGTCAGACATCACTAACCTGATCAATCACTGTTTTTGGTAGAAATTATATTTCTACATGGCAAAAACACCAGTAAACGTGGAACATCTTGGTTCCAGACCAACAAGATTGACATTATGGAGTGGCCAGCCCAATCCCCGGATCTTAATCCAATAGAAAACTTGTGGGGTGACATCAAAAATGCAGTTTCTGAGGCAAAAACCAAGAAATAGAGAAGAACTGTGGAATGTAGTCCAATCATCCTGGGCTGGAATACCTGTTCACAGGTGCCAGAAGTTGGTTGACTCCATGCAACACAGATGTACAGCAGTTCTCAGAAACAGTGCTTATACAACTAAATATTAATTAAATGATTCAAAGGAAAGCAAAATCTTCAAACATTTTTCAGTTTATATAGTGAATGTTTGAGTTTGTAAAGAATACAAACACTGCTATTTTTTTGAACAGTCTAATATTCACTTTTCTTCAATTTTTTTTAGAGGAACAACACAAATTTGATATATTTTTCTTTATGTTTTGATTTGGAATAGAATGTGTAGTGTTCCCAATGCATTTGTGTGTATGGAAATAAAAGCTATTAGAAGGATTTTGAGCTTTATTCACTTTTTTTCAACACACTACTATTATTTTGAACACAACTGTATATATATATATATGGCCTGGTTTAAGAAGCTGAAGAAGACACTTACAGGTTTCCTAACAGAACTAGGTTTACATTTGCATTCCAAACCACGCAAGATTTAGGGCACTTGATGCAGAAAAGATAACAAATTTGATGTTAAAACGGATCTAAACCCATTGATTTAATAATTTAAAAAAACAGTTACATTCCCAGCATGCTTGGATTGCTAACTGTCACATGCACTTGTGCTCTCAACCAAACTGCTGGTGTCATAACTGATCACATTTGAGCACAATGGCAATTGCAGATCAACTAAGATGGCAGCTTCTTTGGCTGAAAAGGATAGGAGTGTTTAATTCCATTTTTAAAGGCCACATTTACGTCTGCACTTTTTTATTGCATTGCGGGCATTGTGCATTGAAAAATGTTGCAAGGCACTTCCAGCATTGCTCTTGAATAGGTCATGTTCAGCAGTAGTACTGCTTGCTGAGTGTGAAAGGGGATATGATTTTTGCCGTTGTCACAAAGCAAACCATTACTGGTACGGGGTATGCACAACTCCTCCGGCTACCCTGTTAGATTAAGTGGGGTTTAACCACTTATTTATTACCATCCCCTGATGGCAAGTGTAAAGGATGCCTTAGAGCTAATTGGTAACACATAAAGGTGTATGTTTAATAAACTGTGTTAAGAGGGTGATAAGTTGTGTTAAGCCTTATCACAGTGAGTCAGTGTAGTAAATCCCTATAGGGCTGTTTAATAAACCGTGTTAACTAAGGTAGGAACTATATATCTCATCTCTTCACTTTGTGTAGTCTCTGTGATAACTACAGTGATAGTATAGGAATGTACCTGTTTATTAAACTCTGTTAGGCTCACAAGACTTGGTGTTAATTCCCTGGATTTAACACCAAGTCAGACCAGGTGTTAAAGCCTTTTTTTCAAAGTAGAAGATGAACTTTCACGGTAGCAGCTAGTGACAAAGCTAATATAGCTCATTGTGGTCAATATGTGCTTCAGCACAACACTATCAGACACTGCAGGGTATGTGTTCATCTAGAAACCTATGTCTGCAGCACTCACATACTGTATCTAATGGCAGAGCAGAGTGGATATCTTTGCTAATAAACAGGAGAGCAGTAGACCTGTGACAGAGAGGTGCATATTTGCTACTGCATGAGACCGCGTTCTTAAAGTGTTACTAAACCCAGGACCCTGCATTCACTATATCTGGTCTCCCACAGTACACAGAACATGGAAGTGCAATTATTTTAGTAAATATAAACTGCTAAATACCCTTTCTCCTCAGCAGTTAGAGCAGTCTTGTGACTTCTATCAGTGTCCAGCCCAGCACTAGCTAAAGCTTGTAGGAGGAGTTTTCTTTCTGCTCTAGGAGGATAGAAATACCCTGACCTCTGTCTGGACAGTGCTGATTGGCCCTGTGCTGATCACATGCACTCTCCCAAGTAAATTAACCTCTCTAGCAATATAAACCAAACTGAGCATTTGCATTCCTACGGTTCAGTCTGGAGATAAGTGGTGGTCACTTGAAAAAGGGGATGAACAGAGAAGAAAGGATCAAGCAACCTTTTTACACAATGCAGAGGATTAACCCCTTAGGTTCCACAGTGAATATAACAAGCATGCTTTACTGCATATACAGATTGATTTTACTGTTGTGGGTTTAGTATCACTTTAAGCCAGCCATATATGGATCGAAATTCAACTGGTTCAGCAAGGACAGGCTGAATTTTCATCCATATATGGGCAGGCTGGTTGTATAGAAGTCAAGTGGTAGATCACCTGCTGTACAACCAGCCTGTCTGTTTATTCCTAGTCGATTAGTGCTGCTGCATATAGCCAGCAGTACTGAGCAGTGTATTCTGACGGAGGGCAAGTCTCCCTGCTGTCAGAACACACACACACACAATGTGTGTGGATGAGGGAATCAAGTCATTTTTTTTCAAATGGATACTGCGCTAGGTGAACCCTTAAAACTTTATGAGCACTATGGAAACCTTCACACCTATGAAAAATTATTTAAAATAAAACACTGTAATAGTTAAATAAGTGCATACGTATGCCCTATGAAGACCCTCTGAAGGGTGATCAGAATTTTTAAAAAAGTGATTGAATAAACTGAGCAAGTACAGTAATCATAAATACGTGTAAGAAACCATGATATGTGGTCAAATTACCCTAAAATATTGTAAACTTAGACCAACTATACTCATTCACTCACTTTCAGTCGCTCCTGATTGACAACTGGCCTCTTCCTGTTGCTCTGTTCTTTGTAGCACAGGATGGGCTGTAAAGGCTTGATTCATACCTTTGCGGTTCTGTGAGCTGCACTTGCATGGGCAGGGCAGCCCATTTATTTGGATGGGCTGCTGTGCCTACATTTCATACAGGAAAAAGGTTCCTGCACCTTTTTTAAAATACAGTGGCAGGAAACTGCAAACACATGTACAGCGCTGAATGAACTGTTGGCGCTTTATAAATACTGTATAATAATAACTCTGAGGATTAACCTATGTTCATTTATAGTGAAGGATGGTAGGAGAATGGTAGATTAGAAAAAAAAATATATAATATATATTTTATAATATATTAGTAAGGATGTACATGTGCTTTTACATGTGTTTACATTTTATTTTTAACTGCTTCCCGTCCGCCCTGTAGCAGAAGGGGGCACAAATGCGCAAAATCACGTATATATTAGGGATGCACCGAAATTTCGGTGGCCAAAATGTTTTCACCCCTATCGGCTGTTGGCCGATATGAAAATAAGCACTGATACAGGTGCCGAAAATAACCCGTCGCTGACGCCCCTCACCGCCGCCCGTCCACTACTGCCACCAACCCCTCGCTGCTGCTCGGTAGTTCTCAGCCTTACCTGAGAAACCGCCGAAAAGTCTCGATCCTGGGCATAGAGGTAAGTGAAGCAAAGATGGCCTCCACTCATCTCTATGCCCTTGGAGGACCGGAGCGATTTCACTTCTTGTTCTGACGCCTTGTAAACAAGGCCATTTTTTTTTAAAGCACTAGATCAATGTTTTTTTTTTTTTGATCTAATGCTTTACATTGTAGAGATATGTGAGGTCTTATTGACCTCATATCGCTCCATAAAGAGGACCTGTCACTGCTTATTTCTATCACAGGGGATGCTTGCATTCCTTGCGATAGGAATAAAAGTGATTACTTTTTTTTTTATTAAAGGGATAGTGTAAAAAATTAAAAAAAAAGGTTTAAAGTGCCACCGTGCTCACACGTAATGGTGAGCGCATACATAGGCCACACCCACATATGTAAACGGTGTTCAAACCACACATGTAAGGTATCGCCATGAACGTCAGAGTAAGAGCAATAATTCTAACACTAGACCTCCTCTGTCACTTTACACTGGTAACCTGTAGAAATTTTTAAAGTATCACTCATGGAGATTTTTAAGTAGCGTAGTTTGACGCCATTCCATGAGTGTGCGCAATTTTAAAGCATGACATGTTGGGTATTTATTTACTCGCCTTAAAATAATCTATCATATTTTACAAAAAAATTGGGGTATATATTGTGATTCTTTTTTTTTTTAATCATTAAAGTGTATTTTTTTCCAAAAGATATATATTCATTTTTAAAAAACGTCCATTTCTATTTGTTTTCGCACACAGCCATGCAAAGCAGTGTGCTTACAGTGAAGCACAAACACAGCCCAGTATGCAAAACAGCACACAGTTAACCCTTTGATCGCCCCACATGTTAATCCCTTCCTGTCCAGTGCCATTAGTACAGTGTCAGTGCTTTTTATTAGCACTGATCACTGTATTGGTGTCACTGGGGATGTCAGTGACACAAAGTCAGTTCCCCGCAGTGTCAGAATGTCCGCCAAGTCCCGCTATAAGTCACTGATCAACGCCATTACTATAAAAAAATACCAGTATATATACCGCCATTTGTAAACACTATAACTCATGTAAACCAATTAATTTACACATATTGAGATTTTTTTTTTTAGCAAAGACATGTCACAGAATACATTTTGGCCTAAATTTATGACAAAATTTGATTTTTAAAATTTTTTACTGGATATATTTTAATAGCAAAAAGTCCAAAATATAGTTTTTTTCTCAAAATTGTCAGTCTTTTTTTGCTTAGAGCGCAAAAAAACTAAAAACGCACAGGCGATAAGATACCACTGAAAGAAAGCTCAATTTGTGGGAAAAAAAGGACGTAATTGTCAGTTAAAGTAAAAGCGCCATAACGCAATAAATGGCCTGGTCAGGAAGGGGGGTTAATCCTCTGGAGGGCAAGTACATGTCCTTCATATCCAGTGCACCTGCAACATACCTAAACCGTGCAGGTCCCCAGCTACTGCATTCTCAGTTTTTCCACTGGAAGATACCCTGCTGGTCAGTAATGTGAGCTATGCACACAGGTTTTCAAACAAAAATAACTTCTAATAGTGACTAAAATTGTTTATATTTGAGCAAAAACCTGCAACTCTTCTGGGGAAATTAAACATCTACAAGGTAATGAACCCTAGGCTTACCTGCTATTTGATTTATCTGCAGTAGCAGACATATGATGTGATGAGAGCTTTACACCATCGGAAATTGGATACAGCTGTAATGATTTCAGCAGTGACTGACAAGCCCAGTTCTGAGCCCTGATATATGAACTAAAATGTGTCCTTGCTGGGACCTTTTTACGATGAATGAAGATGTACCTTACAGAGTACCAATACAGATTGAGCTGAAAATTCTATTTTGTAGTACTTTAATGAAAAGGAGAAATGAGATATTCTTCTTTAGCCATGTGTGATGAATGTTTTATAAACACCGAGTTGTGAAACAGGAAACCTATTTTAAAGAGGCAAACTTACTGCCAAGATTTTTCTATTTTTTCAAGTACTTAAAAAATAAAAATGAAACACGATGGAGTGTTCTATGTAGCAATCTACAGTAATTGCTCATGTCTGGTGACCTGTGTGTATTTGCAGTGCCATTTAAGCTTTATGTATCATTCAGTCTCGGTGTATAAAAAACTTACTTATAGTAATTGATTTACTAAAAGCAAATAGATTCTTTGTTTTGCAAGGGAATTTTTCTCAGAGCTTCTTGAATGGTAATATTTCACTTTGCAAAGAATACCCAATAACGTGCAAAGAAAAAGTAAAAAAGCATTTTTGCTTACACAAGATTGGATGATGGAAGTCAGCAGAGCGTCACCTCATTCACTTAGCTCTTGAGAAAAATTCTATTGCAAAACGCAACTTCCCTTGCAGAGTGAACAGTCTGCTAGCTTTCAGTGAATCAATACCGTAGTTCTTTGTTATGGAAGCAAGAGAATTTGCAGTCCTAGAGCAAAGGCTAACCTGAATCTTGGGCGTTAACAGCACTTCTTTCATTCACCTGTGCAATTTATTTAAAATGGTACAAGGCACAATAGCAGTATAATGTAACATTTAATGTAGGCATAAAATCTTTGTGCTCTTGAAAAGAGCAATACTGCTTGTAGACAGGTAAAGTGTACGCACTTTTTTAGAGAGCAGGGAAGGGGTAAACCCTTGTCAGGTTAGGGCCCATGTACACGGGACAGTTCTGAACGATGGAAACTGACTGCTGGAAAACGTAGGTTAAAAAACGTTTAGCTGCGTTTGCATAACGAGTTTGCGTTTAGAAGCGTTTTTTAAAGATAAGCATAGGAGAACCTCCCAAATGCCCAGAATGCACTGAAAAGTGGTAAATTAGTAACTATTTCTGACTGTTTCAGAGAAATACACACAGTAGAAGCAGAGACAGCAGTATTTGTTGAGATAATTAGGTGTGAGTTGCTCATTAACATTTCTTTTGTTTCCAAGGGTGGGAAGGTGTCTGCTGGAGTGAGTCATTAAGGTCACCTGGCAGGGGGTCTTCAGGAGGAATTTGAGATGTGAATGGGCATTAACATATCTTTTGGTCATTACAATGTGTGACAAGCTTGGTAGGAACATCCTGTGTTCAGTGTTTTGTCCATCTGAGCACCTTGAAAACTCTTTGCATGCATTTTTCATGATGAAAAAAAGGCTCTGGACAGCACTGGGAACTGGAAGAGTAAAACAAAATGTAAAATGCAAACGCTTATAAACGCGATTTGCTGTGTTTAGCCGCATTTTGCGTTTGAAACACTGATAAAATCGATTCTGCATTCAAAAAAAAACGACTGTAAACTCAAATGCCTGTAAATGACTGTAAACAAAGATGTGTACATGGACACATATGAAAACATTAGGGTGAGTTCAGGGGCTGCTGAAAAAAAAAAACGCTGAACAGCTCCTAAATGTGAGTTTATCAGCTGCAGTGTACATGAGCCCTTACTTTTTGCTGTCCTTATGGGGAAATTTCTTTTCACATCCTGTTCTAAAGATGCAACAAGAAATCCAATTACCAAACACTAAAGTAAAGAGAATTCTAATGATTCCAAATCATTTTGCGTTCTGTTTAGTTGGTGCACATTTACCTGAAAGTGATTTTTGGTAAGATATTTACACTTTCTTGCGGTTCTATATTTTGCTTTGTGTATTTCACATTCAAATCTGTTAATACTTCCTTCAGTACTTAGTTTTTTCAAGCCACGTCTGTTGCCTGTAGTCACTACTTTCTCAATCGCCAGCATCTATGGTAAAGTTTTTATCATTTTCATGACATTCATTTGGGTTATGGTGACAACACTGTACTCGGTGAGCTGGCACACTAAAATATTTGGGTGTATTCTTGCATTTTTAACTCCCTTCAGTAGTCTTATGTGTATAAGGAAATACAATTAGCATCCTGTTTTATAAAGAAAACCTATTACAGATCTGCGATATTCAAACTGAGCAAATAAGAAAAAATAAAATCGAACGCTATCTTTGGTAAAAACTTCATGTTAAAGTGCAGTTAGCTAGTGAGGCTGCCTATGGCATGAAATGATCAATATTGTGACTTGGAAAAGGGGTTGACTTTCACATTAAAAGTTAAAATTTACATGAAATTTGAAGGTAATCACTGTTTATGTGGCTTTATGAATTGTTTTCTGGAGCTGGATTGCCTAGGTTTGGGACAGGATTATTTTAAATACTTAAAGTAAACATGCAGAATGGCGGGAAAAAAACCCTCCCTTACTCTATTCAAAATGGAAAAAAAAAAGTTTGCCTATAGTTCTATAGTAGGTTACAAAAAATAAAAGCCAGCAGCTATAAATGCTTACTCACCAGCCTGTCCAGTGCTGTCTCCCTACAGCTTATTCATCTTGGTGCTGTGGTTTCCCGACGCCACTATCTTGAATTTGAGAGTCGGCTGTGACTTCCTAGTAATTAACAGCCAGCTCACCATTGTGCATGCATGGGAGTGTGCTGTGCGGGAAGACTAGTCCTGCAGCCTCCTGGAATAACACATGAAGTTGTGTGCACGAGGGGTACAGCCTAAAGGGCTGTCGGGCTTGCCTAAGCGAGAATTATGGAAGTGACTGACTGCGCTGGTGTACTGGGTCCATTTGAATACATATAAAACACTTTGCATGCATTTCTGATGATGAAAAAAGGCTCTGGACAGCATCTGGATATGGAACAGTTAAAAAACGCTTAAAAATGCGGTTGGCCGCATTAACAAGCATTTGGCGTTTGGTGCGTTAAAAGAAACAACTGTAAACTCAACTGCCTGTAAATGACTGTGTACATTGACACATAGGAAAACATTAGGGAGGGTTCAGGGGCTGCTAAAAAAAAAATGCAGAAAAGCTCCTGAACATGAGTTTATCAGCTGCAGTGTACATGAACCCTTAAGCTCTGTAAACAAGATGTACAGAATGGAAAACAAAACAAAAAGACATTGAAGATCACATTTTAGTCATCGAATCCTTCTCATCAGTGGACATATGATTAGGAGATGTAGAAAGCCAGGGTAAGGGAGATGACAAAGTAGAAGTAGGGGTACTGGGTGTAGTTTGTGAGAAGAATCCCGTTATTGTGCTCTTTTTTGTCATTTTCTTTTTTTTTTTTTTTTCATAAATTTCATGATAGCATTGTAAAGGTTCACTCATTTGCCGTTCAACTTTTGTGAATCGTTCAACATCTGGATCCATAGCCTCTAGTTCTAACATAGCTGCATTGACTTTTGAGAACACACCTGCTAATCCCTTTGCGCTCAGCTCTTCCTCAGTATATTCCACTAATTCTTCAACATCTTTAGCCTCCAAATTAAGCACATCAGCAAGCTCCACAGTTGTTTCGGTTGAGGTTCACATATTCATCTTTGTCAAATGCTTCTGTATTATGCACAAACATTTTTAGGCATTTTTTTCATACTCCTCGCATACAATTTTCCATCACTCTTCCCAAGCTGCTTCAATGTTTTTAATGCAGTCTAAAATGTATGATTTCCAGAAATCACGAAAGGTTACTTCATTGTTTTCTGTTGCTGCTATAGCTTTGGAAAAAGTTGTGCACAAACAGTGCGCTTTGAAGGTAGCTATAGCCTCCTGGTCCATGGGCTGTAAGATAGCAGTTTGGTAAATACACTACCTTTACCGCACAGTGTAGGTCAAGATGCTGTTGGTGGCCTGGAGCATTATCAAGCAGGAGTAGAATTTTAAAAGGAACGCTCTTTTCTTCACAGTAACACTTCTCCGAGGGTATAAAGTAGTTCATGAACCAATCTTCAAATAAAGCTTGCATCATCCAGGCCTTGTTATTAGCTCTATAGTAAACGGGCAGTGTGCATTTACTAATATGCTTTACAGGCTTTAATTTAATTTGAACCCACCAACATTTCCTCTCAACAACAATGTGACTCAATCCTTAAAAGCCTTAAAGCCGGGCATTGTTTTAGCTTCTTTTTGTATGTAGGACCTTTCAGGCATTTTCTTCCCAAAAAGACCGGTTTCATCCACATTGAAGATTTGTTTTGGACAGTAGCCACCTTTATGATTTTATGAAATTGGTTAAGAAAAAGTTTTTCTGCTTCTACATCTGCACTTGCCGCCTCACCACTGACACTTCCATTATGCAGCTTGAACCTGTGACAAAACTGCTGATACCATCCATGACTTGCTGTAAAGGTTTCCATTGATGCTTCACCTTCACGTGCCTTCAGAGTCTGGAAAATACTGAGTGCCTTGGCTTGAATGATTGCAAAACTCATTGGCATTCTTTTTTGTATCTGGTGATCAAACCACATTGCCAATAATTTTTCCATTTCATAAATGAGGCCTGTCTGCTGCATAGTTATTATGGTTTTAAAACCTGTACATGTTTTCACTGCCTCTTTCACTTTGTCTTTATCCTTCAGGATTGTTGAAATGGTTGAATGCGCCAGATTTAAGTTCTCTGCTATGGCTTTAACTTTTTTACCAGCTTCATAGTCGTTTATGATCTTCATTTTAGTTCAAGATCAATAGACTTCCTTTTTTTCTTTCTGCTTTCTCCTGCAGAATTCCCGCTTTTGTGTTTGGATGACATCTTGTGCTAAGGGGTGCATAATAAAGTACATACAGAATAAGGTACCCAGATCTCACAACACTACTGTACTGTTCAAGAAAAAAGTTCATGTACTGTACATTGTTACACTACTGTACAGGTACCACATAGCTGCCAACATTTAAAATAAAAATTTCAGGGACTATTTTTTTTGCTCTTCATCCAGCAAGCCACTGTAGGCGGAGAACATATGTTAATTAGGGGTGGGATTATTTAAATGGGTGTGGTTCTACAAGATGTTTATCATCAAACAATGTAAGGGGGAATGTTACACTGACCACCAAGGTAAGTGAAAATTTGCATATCAATTGAAATCCTAATGTAATACCTCAATTATTTATGAATGGACTTGCATACTGTACTCTAACAGAGCATGGCTATTGACAGGCCATGGTGACAGGTCCAAGCAGTTTCAGGGACACAGAGCCTGCCAGGGACAGATGAGTAAAGAGTGGGAATGTCCCTGAAAATTAGGGACAGTTGGCAAGTATGGTACCACCTGGGATGAACATCACATTAACAGCAATGCCTAGGGTGGCTATGAATGGCAGGCAACACCATGCACATACTGAACAGTACTGTCCATACAGTACATACTGAAGACATTACAGTACTCACTGAGAAATCCGTGGAATTTGTTGTAGAAAAAGCCGCCGTAGGCCAGAAAAGACACCCTAGGCCACAAACAAGCCATCATAGGTCATACTGCCGCGTCACAAGAAGATCCACCATAGGCCACACTTCCGCTCAGTTTCTCCGTCATAAGTCCCCCAGCAGGGTTGCAAGTCCAAACAGCAGGTCATAAGTCCAAGGAAAGGAAATTGAATCAGGTCGCAAGTCCGAGGGCAGGTTGTAAATCCAAGCCGAAAAAAAGTGTGAACATTCGTTAAACGGTCGTTAAGCAAGGGATACCTGTATATATTTTTATGATTTCGGTATTTCAAAGAGGAATATAAGATACTAAAGCATTTCTGTTCTATCTTTGACTATTAGTTTTAAAACAACTAGTGTTACTGTAGCCATTCCTTTGTTGATTTGGATGTATGCTTTCGGTCGTTGTCATACTGAAATATGAAGTTCCTCTTTATGTTCAGCTTTCTAGCAGAAGCCTGAAGGTTTTGTGCCAATATTGACTGGTATTTGGAACTGTTCATAATTCCCTCTACCTTGACTAAGGCCCCAGTTCCAGCTGAAGAAAAACAGCCCCAAAGCAAGATGCTGCCACCACCATGCTTCACTGTGGGTATGGTGTTCTTTTGGTGATGTGCAGTGTTGCTTTTGCTCCAAACATATCTTTTGGAATTATGGCCAAAAAGGTCAACCTTGGTTTCATCAGACCATAACACATTTTCCCACATGCTTTTGGGAGACTTCAGATGTCTTCTTGCAAAATTTAGTCGGGCTTGGATGTTTTTCTACGTACGGAAAGGCTTCCGTCTTGCCACTCTACCCCATAGCCCATACATACGAATAATACGGGAGATTGTTGTCACATGTACTACACAGCCAGTACTTGCCAGATATTCCTGCAGCTCTTTTAATGTTGCTGTAGGCATCTTGGCAGCCTCCTAGACCAGTTTTCTTCTTGTCTTTTCATCAATTTTGGAGGAACTTCCAGTTCTTGGTAATGTCACTGTTGTGCCATATTTTCTCCACTTCATGATGACTATCTTCACTGTGTTCCTCGGTATATTTAATGCCTTGGAAATTCTTTTGTACCCTTCTCCTGAATGATACTTTTTAGCAATGAGATCCCTCTGATGCTTTGGAAGTTGGAACAGCTGAACTTTATTTGGGGTTAATCAGAGGCACTTTAAATGATGTCAGGTGTGTACTGACTCCTATTTAACATGATTTTGAATGTGATTGCTTAATTCTGAACACAGCTACATCCCCAGTTATAAGAGGGTGTGCACACCTATGCAACATTATTTTAGTTTTTTATGTTTACTTTCCCCCTAAAAGATTTCAGTTTGTTTTTCAATTGAGTTGTACAGTTTCTAAGGCTGGCCATACATTATACAATTATCTGGAGATTTTTGGGTTTAGATTTACCAAAAACCATATAATAGGAGGACAAACCTAAAGAACACTTTCAGTTGTTTCCAATTAGGCAGGCCCTTGCACTACACAGTTGAAGGTAAATCTAAAGGAAATTGGGCAGAAAATTGGAAGATAATTGTATAATGTATGGCCAGCCTTAGTCACATTAAAAGGTGGAAAAAGTTCTGAAATGATTTAAATTTGTCTCATTTTTTTTACATCACAGAAACCTGACATTTTAACAGGGGTGTATAGACTTTTTTTTATATCCACTGTATGTTGATTTTTTTGTGAGTTGTCACATATATCATGGCACTAAAATTAGGTCCAAAATAAGACCATAGTACAATTATTTAAAAATTAAATAAAGTTATTTAAAATTGTATGCATTTTTTAACATACCACTAAGCAAAAAAGTAAAAGTAAAATGAACAGAAATATTTAAAAGACATGCAATATCAACAAAAATAAAGAAATCAGAAAAAAATGAACTAGCTAAGTAAATCTAAGAAGTTAATCTATGCTAGACAGTGTTATTTTAAGGATACAAATGAGGTAAATGGGAATAATTTTTATTAAAATGAAAAGAAACCCACCATTTTATCCCACTGTAGCGCCTTGCTGTAGCTACCTTCCTTCGATTTCTGCACTCCTCAATAGACACCTCAATCAGAAGCTAGAGTATTTTATAGAGTGATGACATCAGGCATGTGCTTGTATTTAGAACAATGAGGGGGGGGGGGGGGGGGATTTAGTAAAGTTGGTGTGTCACGTTTCTACTGGTAATTGCTCTTGTTAAGGTTTCATGCCTAATTCAAGAAACATATGCAATAGTTTTCGTTTTGGCTGCAACTCCTGTGCCAAATTCAGGCAGATGCAATTTGCGCTACTTCTACATTGTGCGCCAAAAAGAAATTACCAACACGTGGTATCTTTTGAAATTGGAGCTAATTAAGTCCAACTCTTTTTTAGCACACAGAGAGACCCTGTGCACCCATAAATGATGTGTGTATACATATATTTGTGCTCAACACTCTAGTGTAGACCTTTATATCAGCTGTCATAAATGTAAATGTGTTTGCTTGTAATATAAAAATCTAACATGTAGTATTGCAAAAAACTTACTGTCATGTATTTATATTTTTTGTATGTTAATGCAAACACAAATGTTAATATTAGGTATAGTTTGAGGATATGCTCACTTGATTGTGCAAGGGACTAGCTTTAAAACATCATATTAGTAAAAGCTGTTATTGTACATTCAACGTAATCAGCTGTAATGAAGAATGGCCAGGTTAGTGTTTCTGTCTCCAGTGTGTATGGCTGTAGGTTCAAGATTGCGAAACCTTTTATTTTCCAAAAAAAGTACTGTTACTGTTTAACCACTAGCCTACAGGGCACTTATACCCCCTTCCTGCCCAGGCCAATTTCCAGCTTTTAGCACTGTCACACTTTGAATGACAATTGAGCGGTCATGCAACACTGTACCCATATGAAATTTTTATCATTTTTTTGAGACAGATAGAGCTTTCTTTTGGTGGTATTTAATCATCTCTGGGATTTTTATTTTTTCTTAAACCAAAAACCACAGAAAAAATTTGAAAACAAAAACATTTTTTCGTAGTTTTTGTTATACAATTTTGTAAATAAGTGATTTTTCTCCTTCACTGATGTGCGCTATTGAGGCTGCAGTGATGGGCACTGATAGGCAGCAACTGATGGACACTGATAGGTGGCACTGATGAGGTCCTGGTAGGTTGCACTGATGGGCATTGACAGGCATCACTGATGGGCACTGAAAGGCAGCACTGATACATGACACTGATAGGCAGCACTGACTGCCACTGATAGGCGGCAATGACTGGCACTGATAGGCGGCACTGCTGAGCACTTATAGGCGACACTGACTGGCTTTGATAGGTGGCACTGATTGGCAGCACTGATAGGTGGCACTGATTGGCATTGATAGGTGGCACTGACTGGCACTGATGGGTGACATTGAAAGGCAGCTCATATGGGCACTGATATGTGGCATTGATATGCACTGATATATGGCATTGATGTGGCACTGATGGGCACTGGAACGTGGCACTGATTGCTGGCACTGATGGACACTGACAGGTGGCACTTCTGGGGCCACACTGATCATCAGGGCACACTGATCATCAGTGCCCTGATGATCAGTGTACATGTCCCCTCCGCGGAAAGCCGATTACCGGCTCTCCTCTCCCCTCGAGCTGTCAGCGTGACAGCTCGAGAGGAGAGAAATGTCGATAACCAGCATTTCCGTGTTTACATGTGATCAGCTGTGACTGGACAGAGCTGATCACATGACCGAGCCGACATCTTCCGCTCTTTCCGTGATCTGCGGTGTCCGAGGGACACAACGCACCGCCGATCGCCGTGCTGCGCGCTCCCTGAGCCGTGCATGCGTGGTGAGAATGACGTCCTATCAGAATGAGAGAACCACCTTGCGCCCGTCATTGTACTATATGGTGGGCGGAAGGTGGTTAAAACAAATATTAAATCTCTTTGCTTGTTTTTGTTACCTCTTGTAAAATATTTCAAGTATGTTTAGCTGCATCAGTGCATTCCTGTGTATACCCCTGCAATATGACAGCCCAGTCATGGGCTGCAAATCGCACTGGACCACACAAAAAGTAGAAATTTCTGAAAATTGCACCATACCAAATCGCATGGTACGGCATTCTGTTTCCGGTGCTACTTTCCCGCACTGCCCTCAACCATAATCAAGTAAAAAAGAGAACAATGGAATGCAGTTCAGTAGCAGCTTTTTATTTATAGGGTTCTAAATATGTATGGGCTATCTAAACTATTTTTAAGATGTAATTTATGGACCTTAACCTCCCTAGCGGTATGATTATGTCAGTATTTCTGTGCTAAAAGCAGGACATTGTTTTCAATGGAAATATGTTGTTTTTTTTATTGTAGGCCTGTAATTCTTAGGAATAACTCACTGAAATATGTTTAAACAAGGAGTCTAGTAGACATCCTTGGTGCAATAAAGTTTAATAAATTAAATCATAAATTATAATATAATCAAATCAAACACATGGAACTCTGTCCAAACAATATTATATAGACACTGCATTTTGTTTTAGTAAACATCACGGGTGTGGTATATTTTGAAACATGGGACTGCACAAAGTCCAACATCGCAATCAGGACAGTGGAACCTCGTTTCCTTGCGGATTTTTTTTCCACTCTCATCTCGCCGAGAGCAACATATCCTGCACATCCGTGTAGGTGATGCCTTTTTTTGGGTTGGTGGGATGTGGTCTATAAAGTGACGTCCAGTCAGACGTTCTGGGTTGACAACTCCCACAGCACGTCTTCCGGATCTACCCACAGACACTGATGGTGTTTGATGTTTGAGGAAAATCGATTCCCCCACTTTCCAGAAAAAGTCCGCATGAACCACAGGCTTGTCACTGTTTTTGCGGAACAGAATATAGGCATTCCACAAACACTGTTCCAGAAGATGCCGGAAAATCTTTTTATAGTATTTCCTCTGCTGCTTTCTCATCGCCGGATAGAAAGTCATAGCTTGGTCGGCTCTGTCGACACCTCCCATGGTGCTGTTGTAGTCAATGACAACCTGCGGCTTCTGGATGTTTTTCCCACCTTTTGTTTGTACCATCACTGTGGAGGCATTGTGAACGGTACTCATTAGGCACACATCCTTCTTGTCTCGCCATCTAAGTGCCATCATTTTGCCTTTCTGCCAAGCAACAAATTCTCCTGACTTCAGTTTGTTTTTTTGCAAACATGGATGGCAGGTTGCACCGGTTAGCCCAAACGGTTCCATAGGCATCCGTTTTGTGCTGAAGAAGAACATCGTAAAGTTCTAAAGAGGTGTAAAAATTGTCTGTCATTACACAGTAGCCTTGGTTTAGCAGAGGCTCAAATATACGGAAGAAGTTGCCATTCCGTAGTTACTGTACTTGGGATCAAATTTTGTGCCTTTGCCGGTGTATATGTCTGTGTTCCAGATGTAGCCGGTAGAGGATTCGCACAGCAGGTAGGATTTGACGCCAAATCGCACTCTCTTGGATGCGATATCCAGCTGAGCCTTCCTTTGTAGGCCATTAGACTTTCGTCTATGCTGATGTCTCACTCTGGCACATAGCTCTGCTGGAAATTTCTTACAATTATTTGGTACACTTACCAAATTTTTTTTAGCTTGGGAGCCAGATGAGTCGATTCATCAAAATCCTCATTACTTGCAAAGTGCAAAAATTTCATAATGAGGGAAAAGCTGTACTCTGACATGACCGGTGCCAAACAATGGCGTGGAGAGCATTTTCTTTGTGGTCCAGTACCACTTCTGCAGTGGTTTCCCCACCACTCCTTGCAGAATAATTAGGACGAGAAACAGCCAAATGTCCTCTTTGGTGACAGGTTCCCACTTTCTGCTTCGTGAAAACCGGCTGTGTGGAGCAGCTAGTTGTTGCTCTGCGTACCTATTTGTCTCCGTTACGATAATTTCAATAACCTCATCGGTCAGAAACAATTCCAAGTACGCCAAGGGGTTATCACCTTCAACGTGTATTTTCATACCAGGTGCGCTGGTAAACTGAAATCTTGGCAGCGCAATCAATAGTGCACCACGTGCACAGATCACTCGCGTCAATCTCAGATTCGCCGCTGTCTTCACTTTCGGTGTCTGAATACAAATCACCACATGAGTCACTATTGCTCAATTCAAGTAGCTCCTTACTGTTGCTGTTCGCTAGCTCATCATAAACCGCTTTAGCGCTAGCAAGGCCCTTTTTGGAAGCCATGATCATCTGTGTATACTCCTCACATCTTTTGTAAATATTTTATTCTATCTTTTCATGTGACAACACTGAAGAAATATATAGGTGGGAGCGGGTACCTGTCAAATTCGGGTATTCGCTCCCCAAAGGTGCGAATCCTTTATGGGGAGCAAGGGACAAAGCATTAAAGCGGAACTTCCCCTTTTGGGTGGAGCTCCGATTTAAAGACCAAGAAAAAACGGAAATAATGAAAAAGAGCTTATTGTCTAAACTCTTAACCACTTGCCCTCAGAAAGATATACCCCTCTTCCTGACCAGGCCATATAACTGACCATTGCGCGGTCATGCATTTAATGCTGTACATAAGTGAAATATATGTAATTTTTTTACCCATAAATAGAGCTTTCTTGGGTGGTATTTGATCACCTCTGTGTATTTTATTTTTTGTGCTATAAACAATAAGATACTTTTTTGTTTTTACTTTTTGCTATAAAACATATCTAATAAAAAAATAAACTTTCTTCATAAATTTAGCCCAAAATGTATTCTGCTACACGTTTTTGCTAAAAAAAAATCCCAATCCGTGTAAATTAATTGGTTTACCTGACAGTTTACAAATGGTGGTATATATACTGGAATTTTTTTTATTGTTTAATACTAGTAATGGCAGCGATAAGCGACTTCTAGTGGGACTGCGGGACTGTGGCGGGCATTCTGACATCTCCAGTGACACTAATACAGTGATCAGTGCTAATAAAAAGCACTGACACTGAATGAACACTGGGAAGGAAGGAGTTAACATCTGGGGTGCTCCCTACCTGGAAATGCAAAATCACATATATTTACATGATTTTGCACAGCACGGCCACCCTGTAGCAGTACATCTGTTATGGAGCGGTCATCATACGGTTAATATAATGTTCTATCATTCTGAACAGACATGAATATAGCACATATTGTGCAGTGTCCATGCCAGTTTAGTAAGCCTTTTTCACATTGATTGCAAAATTTCTGAAAAAGTAGTTTCATCTCTAGTTTGTAAAGAAAAATTGAAAGAGAGTAATTTGGGAGTACAATGAAATCATTTTGTAGTGTTTTCTCTACAAGGAGGATGAGCACCAGTAAGGCAGTGCCAGAGCAGTTGCTTTTTAGGGTTACTACTCCAGTTAGTATTTTTATATGCATGCCTGAGCTTATGTAGCTACTAAAAGTGGACTTTCACTTTAAAGAGTCCCTGTCTCCATACCATTCATTTTAACAAAATCATTCCTATAAGATTATATGTTAATTTTAATGTTTTTTTCCCCGTTTATTTACCGTAAAAGCCTCTCTTATGTAGACATCCAAAAGCCCTGAGATTGTTGTTGGGCACCACCATTGAGGCTGTGATCCCAGAAGCTCCAGAAGTGACATGCTATAGAGTTCCTCTTTGATTCTTCCTAGCAGCTACATAATAAATTATGAGTAGAATAGAGGAGATTCTGGGCCAGCAGAGATAGTAATTAGACCCCTTAGAGAAGAGGGCTATGACATGCAAGGAGCTCAAATTAGCCCAAGTTAAAAGGCACATTGCAAGTAGAATAAATGGTAAAAATTATAGAAAAAATAAACTATAGTACTGAGCAATTAAATTATGTGATTTCTCTGTGATTTACTGGCTGTTTTTCTAAGTTGGTGACACTTTTGGATAATTGGTCTCTTTAAGAGACAAAACCAATCAGATACCCTGAGAAGTCACATAAAAAGTTACATTTTCTCAAAATAATTGCAATTTTTTTGAAAACCCCAAGCATATGTTATAGAGCATTTCAAAAGAAACATTAAGGAGTCCATGTTGCTAACAACTTGGTGCAAAAAGTTCTGAAGAAGCAGCAATTGAAAAAAAAAAAAATATGGCACAGCTGTGACTGCTTTAAGAAGACAAAGATCATGTAAGGGGAGCATTACTCAAAGAAAAAAACAACAACCAAGAAAGCAGCTCTGAATTCCCTTATTTTTTTATTTCGTTCAACCCAACGGGCTGATTGATGTATTAGCACCATCAGTGTTAGTACAGTGTCTGCCTCGCCATGTTCTGACGGGGACCGCCCACCTCCAAACCCCCTGGCAAAAGAGAAGCTGATCAGCAGATCTTATTCGATCATGTCTGTTTGAGAGAAGCTGAACGAATGGCTGCCATACACATGGGCCAAATGTCGGCCAGTTTCTGTTAAACTGGCCGATACCGCCCAATAATTGGCACGTGTGTACAGGGCTTAAGGCTGGCCATACATTATACAATTTTCTTGTACAATTTTTCCTTAGATTTACCAAAACCATATAATATAAGGACAAGCCTAAACACTTTCAATTTGTATGAAGCAAACAGGCCCTTACACTACATAGTTAAAGGTAAATTGAAAGTAAATTGAACAAGAACATTATATAATCTATGACCAGATTTAGGGTCCATGTACAGTGGGCTTAAAAAATGTTGCTTCCGCAGGAGTTTTTGCGTTTTGCCTGTAGAAGCAGCTCAATGTTATCCTAGGTGTCCATGCACATTA